CCACTTAGGAGAAAATTAGAAATTTTTGGATATTGGGCGTGTCACCATTATGACCACATATGTGTATCCCGGTAACCGATTTATCAATTTACACCAAACTCGGTTCACTTGGTAGGCAAAAGCAATTCGTTAAAAATTATTCAAATCGGACTTAAATTACGCCCGCCTCCAGTATAACGGTAAATTTAAGACATACGAAAAGTCCGATATTTCAATAACTGAGGATGCTAACTTACTCCAAGTTAATAGTTATAACAATTTTTTAACAATAAATAAGAATGCTATAGAACTTTAAGAATTGGGCGTGGCACCAATTATTGGTTCAATTATATCATTAAGTCTACCTGAGCATGTAATCGAAAACTTTTGAAATGGGGAGAAACAGTCCTGATTATCATGCAAAGGTACAACCACCCCCCAGATCGGTTAGTCCCTCAATCGTTGTCGTCAAGCTCCACTAACGGAAGCCCTAGGAAGCGTGCAGCCTCGACGGGGTCTGTCCATAGGTACAGGGCAATGCGAAGAGATGCTGTGAGTCATGGGGCGACTCTCCGCATGCCGGGCATTCATTTGGAATATCTTTGCTTAATCTGCTCAGGTATGAGTTCAACCTGCTGCGTAACCAGAGCGTAGTTGGGCTATTATGGTCCGAGTCTCCAGAGGCAGACGANATGACCACGCCCACCAACCATATAACGGTAATTTACAGAAACACGAAAACTGCATTAATCAGTAACTATTAAAGCTAATTCCTCTAAAATCGATGATTGCAATAACCACTTAGGAGAAAATTAGAAATTTTTGGATATTGGGCGTGTCACCATTATGACCACATATGTGTATCCCGGTAACCGATTTATCAATTTACACCAAACTCGGTTCACTTGGTAGGCAAAAGCAATTCGTTAAAAATTATTCAAATCGGACTTAAATTACGCCCGCCTCCAGTATAACGGTAAATTTAAGACATACGAAAAGTCCGATATTTCAATAACTGAGGATGCTAACTTACTCCAAGTTAATAGTTATAACAATTTTTTAACAATAAATAAGAATGCTATAGAACCTTAAGAATTGGGCGTGGCACCAATTATTGGTTCAATTATATCATTAAGTCTACCTGAGCATGTAATCGAAAACTTTTGAAATGGGGAGAAACAGTCCTGATTATCATGCAAAGGTACAACCACCCCCCAGATCGGTTAGTCCCTCAATCGTTGTCGTCAAGCTCCACTAACGGAAGCCCTAGGAAGCGTGCAGCCTCGACGGGGTCTGTCCATAGGTACAGGGCAATGCGAAGAGATGCTGTGAGTCATGGGGCGACTCTCCGCATGCCGGGCATTCATTTGGAATATCTTTGCTTAATCTGCTCAGGTATGAGTTCAACCTGCTGCATAACCAGAGCGTAGTTGGGCTATTATGGTCCGAGTCTCCAGAGGCAGACGTAGTTCTGCGTCGTCCACGTCTGGTGGTTGTGTGCCCCGAACGGCATTCACAGGTCGGGAGTCTACATAACTCGAGACTGCCTCTCTGTCTGTATCTGGCTGTCGGGTCCAGAGGTTGTTTGATGAACCTCTGGACTTCGTCCGCCAGTTCGTAGAGATGCCTCCTGACATGCATGGGCGATGGCTCTTCTGCAAGGAAATGCCTGTTTGGATGGCCACATCTGTGGCCCCAACCAGGAACTGCCTGCAGAGCATTATGTTATGCTCCTTAACTGGGAGCATGTGGGCCTCCTCGTGTAGGTGGTATTGCGGCGACATCAGGAGGCATCCTGTCGCTGTCCTAAGTTCCGTGTTCTGCAATGGCGATGCCAGCAACGTTTCTTTGCTTTTGCCCCAGGTGCTGCCGGCTAGCGACTTGAGGACCTTGTTGCGGCTTTTTACTTTGTTGATAATTGCGGTTGTATGCGCCGAGAGGGAGAGCAGACTATCAAATGTTACTCCGAGTATCTTCGGGTTGTTCACCGTCGGAATTGGTGTATCATCGACGTGAATTCCCAGTTGGAGTCTGACCTCCTTCGTCCAGGTGGTAAAAAGTGTGGCTGAGGATTTGTAGGGGAGAGGGTTAGTCTCCGAGCAGTAATGAAGCGAGAAAGCTCCGCGAGATAACCGTTTATTTTGGAGCACAAGTCATTAATTCCATTCTTGGACATCATGATCGAGCAATCGTCAGTATAAGAGACAATCGAGACTCCCTCTGGTGGTTGAGGGAGCTTTGAAATGTAAAAGTTAAAAAGTAATTGGGAAAGGACACCACCCTGAGGGACCCCCTGTTTAATTTTCCTTGTTTGCTCGATTTATCTCTAAAAGTTACTGACGAGTGACGACCACTCAGATAATTCGCCGACCACCGTTTGATTCCCTGTGGGAGAGAGGAGGCCTCTATGTCTTCTAGTAGCGTTGAATGGCTGACAGTGTCGAACGCCTCACAGGGGCGCTTTTGGTTTAGGCCACGAGTTATCTGGATATTTATGGTCTTAAGTGCTGTTGTTGTACTGTGCAGCCTTCTGGTCACTCGACGCTTGGCTTTATCCACCGGAGGATGCAGGATGAACTGCCGGCTAAAATAGCTCGCGCATCGCTCCGGGTAGGAAGAAGTGTGTTCACCGAAGTCTATTTCAACTCTGTCGTCACGCTTCATCGGGTTGGACAATGACCTCACGGTTAACCAAAGCTTACTCACACCAGATGCGAAGTTGCAGGTCTTCAGATGCTCATCCCATTTCTTCCGCTTATGTACGTTCACAAGTTGCCGAATCTCCGAGTTGAGATCCCTAATGCGGGGATTTCCGGGATCGGCCTGACGAAGGTTGTCGCGCTCATCGGCTAGGACAGCCGCTTCTGCAGGAAAATTCGGACGAGGGTCCGAGATGAATCCCGCTGGGATGAAGCGGGCTGCATCAGCAGTGACAACCCTGCGAAGCTTACGTCCTACGCGAACGTCGGTTGGTATGGGTAGTGTAGCGAAGGCGCTTTCAGTAATATCCGCAAAGCCTTTCCAATCAGCTTTAGAAAAGTTGACATAGGTCCGGTGATCCGCGGAAGCAAAGTCGGCTGTTTTATCAATCGAGATGATTATAGGAAGATGGTCTGATGCTAAAGTCAGCATAGGTCGCCATGATACGCTGTTGATCAGACCAGCGCTGACTATTGTTAGGTCTGGCGAACTGCAGCAGCTGCCCATAATCCTGGTAGGTGCGTCGTCGTTCATTGTGAAGAATGTCGAATCGTCTATCTGCTCAGCCAACTGTATTCCCCTACGATCGTTTGAGATGCTTGAATGTCAAAGATCGTGGTGCGCATTGAAATCACCACCATACGGTTTTCACCTCTGAGGAGCGCACCTATATCAGGGTGATATCCTGCCGGGCAGCTGGTGGCAGGGGGTATATATACGTTAAATATTTCGAGCTCGACATCGCCTGACCGGATAGCAATACCATGACATTCTAGGATGGTATCCCTGCGGTCGATGTCTGCTTCGATAAGAGGATACTACACGGTGTGGTGCGTGATGAACGCTAGGCCTCCACCATTATCTCACTCGCGATCTCGACGGTGCACGTTGTATCCTTCGTCTATTGGACCGCAGCTATTAATATTCCGTGCCGACGCATGAAGACGGTTATCTCCTCGATCTTGCTTTGAAGTCCGTTACAGTTGAATTGTAAAATCTTCGTGTGCCTAGGGAGACTTATTGGAATGTGGGGTGTTAGTGATGTGTGTTGCCGTGCCGCCACATGCTGTGCTTGCTGCTGCTGAGGTTGTTGCACACATGGACCCTTATAGTCACTCGTCCAATCTCGCGTGGTGCGAAATCTGCCCTAAAGTGACACCAGCCAAGGCAGATGTCGCACTTGACTGATGTCACATTACGGAATATCCTGGACTGGCATACCGTGCAGATTGTCGAAGGAACTAGAAGTTATTGGCGGTGGCGTGTGGGTGGTGGTGCAGTTGCATCTGTGGTGTGGTCTGTTGTGTCTGTGTTGTGGTGCGGTTGTGTTTGTGTTGAGTTGCTCAAGCGGTTTTTAGTTTCCAGGCGATAACATTATGACATATTCATATTTTATAAACGAAAAAGACGCCGTTAGATAGCTTGTCTTAAGACCTTTCTACTGATATCCACATCAATGGTATGGAATGAGTAGCGCGGCCTCAGTAATAGTTTAAAAAAATTGCCTTTTTTTAATTTCAGGCACTAGCCACGCCCGCAAAGGCATACGAATCGAAAAAACGTGTTTTGCTTCGCAACACTTTAGAATTCGGATAATCGTGTATGAAAAGTGAAAACGNAGCGCGGCCTCAGTAATAGTTTAAAAAAATTGCCTTTTTTTAATTTCAGGTACTAGCCACGCCCGCAAAGGCATACGAATCGAAAAAACGTTTTTTGCTTCGCAACACTTTAGAATTCGGATAATCGTGTATGAAAAGTGAAAACGTTCAGGACACACTCTGCAAGACCTTTCCAACGATACCTCAAACATGTCGATTGGGCGTCTAGATAAAAACCTTCAAATCTCGTGCATATATAAGTTAGTCATTTCAACATACTTGTGTGGCTGCTTTCGTCACTAGCGCGCACTGCCGTGCGCTGTGATATAGAAGAGTTTTAAGTATATATACATATATACAGATTAAAAAAAAATAAATAGCTATTTAAAATACAGTTACCCGTATTGCAAAAAGCCCTATGTACTTTATTGATTGAGCATTATGCGCTTATGTTAATCAGCCTCATTGCGTAAGTCGTAAACTAAACTAAATTGTATGACTAGACGATATTGGCATTGCCTAATGTCTTACAGAAATAAGTAAACGACGAAAATCCTCGAAAACTATCCAATGCTGTCTGTTTTAATACACTTGTCGGCTCGAAATTTTAGGCAATGCAATGCAATTTTCTATACGACTTGACTCTCGAAAAACGACTTGCAGTCGGCACGACACTCGCAATGAGGCTTAATATCAACGGTTAATGCAAAATGTTGTACTCACTTGAGAACGCGTGTGGTCTGTAGGATTGTCTTGTCGGCGATCCAAGGTATCCGCTGCCTTCTTCGTCAGAGAAAGCGTCGTCGAGTCGATGCATTGATTGCGATAATCCCAGTCCGCTTTAGTAAGCAAATCAGTGACAAACAAAATAATAACAAACAGTCAAATTAGTCATTTGTTATAGGGCAAATGAGCTTTTAACATTTTTTTTTTAGCAAAATAATTTTACATTGCCAATTCATACATTTCAGACGAATCAAAATAAAAACTTAAATAAATTGAAAATAAAAACGTATGAATTTAAAACAATACAAACCAGTGTCAATTGGGAGAAGGGGATTGGCTGAAATGCTGGAATTCACATACGTATGCGACTGACTTCGACTACTAGCATTCAATGGCCCTTGCCGGAATGACTGTGACCTGCAGCAAAAGAAAAGACAAGAGGATACCACTTTTTTATTTGCATGCTCGTTTATATTCTGCAGATTTAATTCACTTCTTATTTAGTTCAAGATTCAATGATTTGTAGAATTTTAACTTGTATGATTTTAGTGTTAGTAACGAAATTTTTATCATGTTCTCTATTTTAAAGAAAACTCTACAAAGAGTATTAATTTTTCAGAAAAACAATTGAAATACCAACTTATTAAGAATTAAATACCAAATGGGAGTATGAAAAAAAATAATTCTATGGTTTTAAATAAGTGGACGGAACAGTATGTGCAAGAAAATTAGGATACATACGAGCACTGAAGTAGAAGTTATACTGAAGTACATCGTTACCTTAATATATAATATAAAATCAACTACTACACCAAGAAATTAGTTTCTATGTTTGTTAGCGGGGCCGAAAAGTTTAAGCTTTTGCTAGAAATTGCTTATTTTGCTTATTCCAATGTATAAAGCTAAGTCCAGACTTTTTAAGTAAAAGGTCAAGAAATACATTTCTATTATTTCGTGTGTGTGAATAGTAGTGTCCAAGGAGATTTGGCATCTGATATTTTACAGCCTGCTGTCTCCCTTTTTCCTTACGAAATAATGGAACGGGCAAATATTTCTGTTGAAAAGCCGTAACTTCAATTGCATTTCTGCTTTGATACAAAAATTTAAAACCAATGCTTCGTCTCTACGGGAAGGCATTGGTGTTATTGAAGAGATTTACATAATTTATCTCAAATGGAGAATAACGAATATTAAAAAAAAAATTAAAAGACCAACGCAGATCTTCATTATTTGAGAATATCAAGCAACGCTTGTATGTCCATTAGAACTTTTCAATCCTTGAAANTGTATGTCCATTAGAATTTTTCAATCCTTGAAATAAACTGAATAAAAAACCAAGCATTAAACTGTACTGATTTTTTTTTTTTTTTGCGAGCATATTTGCAAGCATATTTACTTATCGTGCTTATTTTCTTCGGCCCTGTTTATTAGATACCAGTGCAATGAACAAAAGATTAGTTTGTATAAAAATTTATAACTACTCTTTAAAGAAACAAAAATGTTAGATGGGGCCATTCTACATTAAGGTAACGATATGCGTTTTTTTTTGTAACTAAAAAAAATGTACTAAAAAATTCTATTTCCACAGCTTTAAATATCTCATTCTTTTTCTTCTACCCATTTAGTCATGAACAAATAATATTTTTTTACATCGCGTTCTTTGATATTCTGTCAATGATGAATATTTGGATTTTTGTGAAAGTATTAGCAAAATTAAGGACATCTAAGTTTTCTGAGGCGTTGTTTACTTTTACTTGAGAATTGTCAAAGTCGGCAAATCCCAATTAGCTGTTTCTGGAACGTGCCACAATTTGTTCGCTACTTCGTGATGTGATAAAAAGAAAAGCTGGCAGCGCTCCGGAAGGTTGCAGAAATCTCTTAAAATATGTTCGAAAAATATCTTAATATGGAAGGAACTGCTTTACAATGTAAAAGAAAAAAACTGCCAAAACTCAACGCAATTTTTAGCAACTTCAATCTTGCACTTTATTATACTAAAATTAATTTTTTTTAGAGACTAATTAAAAAGTTTGCCATTTAGGTGAAACCTTGCAGATTTTTTTAATAAGGGTCGCCACTCGACAGGAAATGACCCTGAACAAGCTTCTCATAAAAACCATTTGCCGTTCAAAAGCGGCGAAAATATGGAGGTCGTTCTATTTGTGACAACATCAAAGCGCACACCACAAATCGTAGGAGAAGCTCGACCGAAGCACTTAGCAAATGCAAATGCTCGACCGAAGCACTTAGCAAAAAGCGCCAATAGCTTTTTTGATAAAAAAGATTGACTTTTTGTTGCATGTAATAATAGTACAGGTGAATATTTTCAATAATATGTAAATAAGTATAAACAGGTCAATCTGGCAAAATTCATAGGTATACTTTCAAATAATTTAAGAACGGATTTGGCAGGAAATGTTTTTAATTCCACAGCCTGTGATTACTTGACTCTTAAAAAACTAATTACCAATTTGAGTACGTATTAGGTACTAAGCTAGGAACAAAAGTAATTTAAAAATTCCATCACGAATTTTTTTTTAGAAAATCCCTTTTTCATTTTTACCGCGTAGTACTAGCGATAACTTTGAATTTCCATGTCTTTCTGATTTACTTATGGCCTTATTCATAAAAAATAAAATAGTTTGTCAATGTTATTGTGGCCTGTTAACATTTTATTTTTAATACTTTTATTGAGCTTTGTACCACGATTGTTTAATAGGAAAAATTGAAAAAGCAACAAAGTCTAAGCGGTAGAAGTTATAGCACTATTTCGGAGATCACCACATCTCCTCATCAGACTTCTTTTTTCTAGACTTCAGCAGGGA